GCAGTTTCAGGGCAGTTTTGGCCTTGTTGTTGGGAAATCCACTAGGCCTTCTAGGCTTGCTTCCTCCGCCCCGCCCCCAAATCACCTAGTCCCAGTCTTTTCATGTGAAAAAGCGCTGAATATTAAAAATAAGATAAGATTAAGAATAAGACTAGAAGGCCTAGGTCTAGGCTGGATTGTAGCATAGATTGTAGCATAGATTGTAGGTTCGAACTGAAACATGACAATAAAATAAACTTCTTAACTATGTTACTTAATGCATGCGAAAACTAACACACAAATGTCATTGACTAACAAAACTAACAAGCATATACAATACTGTAAAACTTACGTACTTTGGTTTACACTTGTACCAAACGAGTAGCGATGAATTCAATTCGATTAGCAGTTCTTCGTACAGATACGTAGAAATGTCCCTTTCAGTTTAAATAGCTTGTAGCAATTACACGTCCTTACTCTGACGCAGTCACAACTTTACTAACTCACGCTATCTAGTCTATTAGGAACATATGGTATAGCCGTTTCCGTCCTGGTATCAATCAAATTAACTATATTATTAACTAAAACATAATGAACTATTTATGAAGGACAATGAACTAATTTTTAGTAAGCGTTTCAAACCAACAGCCCAGGCTTATGCATACCGCCGCTCCACAGCATAAAGGCGAGGGCTAAAATTGCTATTAAATTATTAATACTGTAGAGTGTATTAGGGAAAATGGCTGTAAGCCTGTAAGAACTTGTTGTTTTGTTTAAACTTATAGGATATTATTACTAAAATTTAGAACAATTATAACTTTCTTCTTCAAAATATATTCAAAACCACTTCCCAGCAAGGTACTACTGTAGCTGTAGCACTTTGGCAGTGTAGTCAAGGCAGTATTGAGTATGGCTCCAAAGTCCAAACTCCTGTCCCTCTATTAAAGTTGTAAAATCAGACTATAACTCGATTGATAATACTTTCATTTTGAAGAATCTCAATATAGTATATCTTTAAATAATAAACATCATAATCACTCATGCCAGTGAAAAGCTATTAAACTTGCTGTCCCACAGTTTATATTCATGCCAATGGGTATACTCAAATGTGTTAAAATTAAACCTTTTCATATTAAATATTTATCCCCGAGCCAACGGCGCGAAGCTCCGTGCGAGGGTACTAATTCCCCCCGGCTATTTACACCCAGGGAAACGAAACCATTAGCGAAGTCTAAAGTTCATCAATTATCGCGGGCGTGGGTCACTGTGCGTGTTTCGGTGGGTGGTCATCCTCACTGATCTCATAATATAGCGGACTGTCATGAATAGCCAACACTGATTGGTCCAATTTAAAATT